ACGACGCTCTTCCGCTGAATATTTCCACTTGGGAAAACTGTCACTTACTGGACTAGGGCAAATATCCCACCAGAAGCGCAGTATTCTCCACATCAAAATGAACTACGCAGCTACTTTCCCTTCTACGCGCTGCTCGACTAGGGAGGGGTATCTTGCAGGTTCACCAGTCTTTCTCACTAGTTAGTGTCGAATTACACTTCACACCTTGGTGAGACAGTACACACTTGCCAAAACAAAGGAACTTCCCACCCTGATGTACTGCTCGAGCCAGAATCTTGATGACACAACGATTTTTAAGCTCTGCTATTGCATTGCTCTACAGGAATTACATGTATCCGCAGGAGACAAGGACGGTGATCGATGGGGACCAGCAAAATGCCCCCATTAAGCCGAACTGCTGTAGCAAGCTGTGCTCTTCGAAAAAACTGAGAGAAATGCATACCGGATTATAGAAACCAGACACGCCATGGAGCTGGCGAGGGTGGACCTTTCTGCGTTCCTTCCTCTAATCCAAACCTAGAGCGCAGACGACCAGAGTCGCCAAGTTGTAGAAAAAAATACTGCTGCTCATCTGTAAACCGTAAGGCCTTTGTCAGGGGAGGGAAACAGGGCTCCTGAATAGCGCTCCTCACCCCTCCCTTTCCCCACCTCACTCTCCTCCCTGCCAACTGTGATAGCGTCGATTATTTAAGAGCCCCTCAGACGGGAAGTAAATCAAGTTGTCATCTTTATGAGGGTTATAGTCATTGTCATGAAAGCACTCACGTTCATCTGCACTCTTTTCGGCGTTCCCCCTTGGGCGCTGTGAACGGAGTGGTGTGACGGCGCTTTGCTTGGACGACGATCATAGTGCACTCCTTCATCGAGAGGCCGGGTGTTTATGAATATCATCCTGAAAAGGCAGCCATTATAAAAGCTCCGAAGTAGAAGTACACGCAAAGAACACGGAATCGATTGAATCATACGACAACACTATCAATCGTACGATATCAATAATAAGTCTAATGTGAACTGGCAAAGGCAGTGGCCCGATAGCTGGGGTG